CAGGGAATGTAGACATGCTATTGATGTCCTAATTTAGCCCATTCATTGCCTTCAAACAGCTATCCCAAGGTGTTGTGGAAAATTACTTTATGTAAAGATGTTTTGCATTTGCTTATGCTGCATTTGTTTAACTATGTAAAGAGGTGTTGTTTCACCTTGCCTGCCTAAGGCACCTGATTGGTCTAGTAAAAAGCTGAATGGCCAATAGCTAGGCAGTAGAGGGATAGGTGGGGCTGGCGGGCAGAGAGAACGAGGAGGAGAAGGAATCTAGGCTCCAGAGAGAACGAGGGAGATGCCCAGGGCTAGCCAGCTAGGCAGCTGCCAGCCAGTCAGACATAGAAGCAGCAGGAAAAGTAGGACAGACAGAAGGAAAGACGGTAAGAAGCCCCACGGCGAAATGTAGATGAAGAGAAACAGGTGAAATTAAGCTATAAGAGCTGGTGGGACAAGCCTAAGATAAGGCCAAACATTTATAATTAATAACTATCTGTGTCATGGTTTGGGGCTGGCGGTCTGAGAAAGCCTGCTACACCAAGGAGCCTAAAAGCCCATTCTCAATGAAGCTAAAACCGGCTTGTGTCGAGGCTGCAGAGAGACAGCCCAGCCCTTTCAAACATATGCTCTTTCAGAGCAGCAGAGTTTGGTCCTCAGCTCCCACCTCACAAACACTGCAGCTCCAGCTCCAGGGGATCTGACACCCTCTTCTGGCTTCTGTGGGCACCTGTATGCACACACGTGTGTGCGCACACACACACATTAATAACATATTTTAAAAAATAGCTTGTGTTGGGGCTTTGTGGTGTAGCTCAATGGTAGGATGCATGTTTAACACACAGTGCCGTGGATTAACCACAGCATCAAAGAGACACGGGGAAAAGGGGATGTGGAAAATCTCTGCTCATTTCCTCGTAGGCTGTGAAAAGTAGGAATAATTCTTCTAATTTTTTTAAAGATTTATTTTATGTGCATGTATTTTGCCTGCATGGTGTCCATGCAGGGAGGGTTCAGAAGGGAGCACCAGATCTCCTGGAACTAGAGTTACAGATGGGCGTGAGCTGCCTTGTGGATGCTGGAACTGAACCCGAGTTGTTTGGGAGAGCAACAAGTGCTCTTAGCCACTGAGCCATCTCTCCAGCCTTGGACACTTCTTTATTTTTTTCTTTTTGAGACAGGGTCTTGCTATATATAGCCCCTGGCTATATTGGTATATTTGTTCCATAGACCAGGCTAGCCTCTAGTTTGTGGTTCCATAGACCGGGCTAGCCTCTAGTTTGCGGTTACATAGACCAGTAGCCTCTAGTTTGTGGTTATATAGACCAGGCTAGCCTCTAGTTTGTGGTTATATAGACCAGGCTAGCCTTTAGTTTGTGGTGCTCCTCCCAGGTGCTGTGACCACAGACCTGTCATAAAGCCTGGCTCCTGGTCAGAATCTTATTCCTGATGCTCCTGTCATGGATTTATACACTAAGCCAGCCAGCTCTGATGTATTCAGTTTTCCTTCATCTGCGAGGTCTCGTGTGTCCTGTCTCTTCACTCTCCCTGACCTCTGATCCAGTACTATAGCCTACTTGAACTTCTATGAATGATACAGCAAGAAAGCGAGCCTATGAATGTATAAAGACTTCTGGGACGTGCTTTATTTAGTTGGTTAGACAGGGTCTCATATCGCCCAAGCCAGCCTTAAACGCTAAACTCATTCTCCTGCTACCACGTCCCAAGGGCTGGGACAGCAGCCATGCATCATGCCCAGCTCTTTTGTTTTTATTTTTGAAATGTGTCGACAGAATGGTATCAGTGACTTCACTTAGCTGCACTCAGCTCATGAGCACAGATACACAGGCGTTTCTGGGAAGTACAATTTTGCTTCAGCTTTCTGTCAGTCACCTGACTATCAGGCCATGGGCCTCTTTACCAGGTCAGGAAGGCTCACAGGTGTGAAACTGAGGAGAATTCCTGCTTCCCTGGCCCGCTGTGTCTAACCAGCTCCCTCATGGACAGAGGAGCTCTGTCTCACATAGCTCTGTTGGCATCATAGGCTTTCTCACGGGTTTATCATCAATTTTTTGTTGTTGTTTTTGAGACAGGGTTTCTCTGTGTAGTTTTGGTGGCTGTCCTGAATCTCACTCTGTAGACTAGGCTGGCCTCGAACTCACAGAGATCTGCCTGGCTCTGCCTCCCGAGTGCTGGGATTAAAGGTGTGCGCCACACCGCCTGGCATCAGTTTTTAATTTTAGATTTTTTTCTTGTTTTCTGTTTGAGAAAGAGTCTTGTTATGTAGCCCACGTTGGTGCAGAATTCACTCTGTAAACCAGTTAGCCGAAAAATCATGACAATTGATCGCCAAGCATGGTGGTGATCTCTCTCTAATCCCAGCACTCAGGAGGCAGAGGCAGGAGATCTCTGTGAATTCGAGGACAGCCTGGTCTACAGAGTGAGCTCTAGGACAGGCAGGACTACATAGACAGACCCTGTCTCAAAAAACAAAATGACAATTCTCCCAAGTGCTGGAATTACAGGTGTATACCACCATACCCAGTTGTTATTTTCAAGGGTGTGTGTGTGTATGTGTGCATGTGTGCGTGTGCTCATGTAAGTGGAGGCCAGAGGTAAACTTTCAGGAGTCCCCTATTTCATCATGTTATGTTTTGGGGATCAAATTTAGGTTGTCAGGTTTACTAGCAAGTGCCTTCACCACTAACCGTCTTGCTGGTCCTATTATTTTTCAGTACCTCAATATTTCATTGATCTCTTCTAAAAAAAAAAAAAAATCAAAGCCTCCAAGTCAACAAAACCTAGTACAAGCTCCCACGAGTCCAGGCAAGAGCACTCTCCCATGCCAGCTTCCGCCGGTCCCCCTTGGATCACACTTCCCAGCTGCTGTGGACATGGGCTGTGCTCGCCAGCCTCAGGGCGACTGCTGACTCACGCTTACTCTGGGATCCTCCAACCCTGGCTCTCCGGCCACTCCAGTCACCTCCCACCGTGGGCTCCCCCACGGCTCCCCCACAGCGGCCCACTCCTCGCCCACCCACCTGGAAGACGTCGTTGGCACACTTGCGGCACAGGTTGTGCTGGCAGGGCAGGATCACCACGGGCTTGGAGAACATCTCCAGGCAGATGGGGCAGATGAGCTGCTTCTCCAGGTTGTCCATGTTGTGTGCATCCCCTAGCAGCGGCTTGAAACCCACGGTGAAGTTCATCCCTCGGCGCTCTGGTGCCGGCCTTGGCTGTGGCCCTGTTCCTGGCCTTCTCTCGCTGCCCCCTGCACCCTTCCTTCCTCGTGAACTTCAGGCTGTCTGTGGAGTCTTAGGATTCCTGCTATGGCTCTCTTGAAGGAGTGATGCTTCCTGTCTGTTCCTCTCTCAGCTCCTCTCACCCCTGGCTCTTTCCAGACTCGTCAGTCTGCACTCCTTGCTCAGAACCCTCTCCAGACACTTGAACTTGAGCTCCCCCTGTGAAATTCTCTCGTTCCCCCAAACCGCCCTCTTGTCCACTCGTCGGGCAGTACTGTTTGTCCCTTCCTCCCTGGAGAGAGTAATATTACTGTGGGGGTGGGGAGACAAGGGGCATCTGTGTGACATTCCAGTTCCCGATTTAGCTCATGTAAGGCGAGCCACAGCTGTCCCGGACTGAGTGACCCTGACTCACTCAGGAACTGGTGGCTTTCTTGAGCAAGAAGAGCAGGGGGTCACTGAAGGTGGGCCAGCGAAGGTGTGGGGCTCACTTGTCACTAGGAAGGTCCCTGCGAACCCTGCTCTTCGTGTTCTGGCTTGAGACCTTCTTCCAGATAGTGATACAGTCTCTAAACCAGCGTGTGGGAGAGACACCACACGTGGCTCAGGGTGGGAGGGGAGGTCTGGACAGATCTACAGACAGTGTCGTCTCTCCCTGTGTGGCTTAGCAGTGACCCTGGCCCTCCTCCGAGAGACGCAGGATTCAGAAGTGGAACACCAGACCCTAGAGAGAGAACTTCTGGTCCTTTATGTCTGGCCCATATTTGTTCTTGCTCAGCCTTAAAAAAAAAAAACATTTATTGACTTGGGGGGGGGGGTGGATATGATATGGGGCACATGTGGAGGTCAGAGGTCAACTGAGAGGAGTCAGGTCTTTTTCTCCAGTGTGTGGGTTCCAGAAATCAAACTCAGGTCATTAGACTTGGTCAATGCCTGTACCTACTGAGAAATCTAGCCACACACCTCCCTCTCCCTTGTTAAAGACAGGCCCTCATGTACACTGTCATCAACGATGACCTTGGACTCTTCTGATGCTCTGATGCTCTTGCCTGCACATCCAATGTGCTGGGATTAGGGGAGAGCACCACCATTCCAAGTTTATGAGGTGCTGGGGGTCAACTCGGGGTCTCATGTGTGCTAAAGCTCTATACTAACTGAACTATGTCACCCTTGGATAGCCCATTATATCATCCTAGGAGAGCAGTTGAAGAGGCAAGAGATGGCTGCTGGGCTGGGCCCAGGCCTGCCTTAGGATTAGGACACGAGAGTGTGTGATTCTGGTCCACGACTACATTAGTGAAGCCATTTCAAGGATGCTACATTTGCTTAGAAACTGAGACAAGTGTGGACTGGAGAAATCCCAGTGGTTGGACTGGAGTTCAGATCCCAACACTCACAACCATCTGTCAGCCCAACTCCAAGAGAATCAGTGCCCTCTTCCGGCCTCCACAGGCACACATGTGCAGAACATTTACACAGACGCATGCAGATGCACACACAAACAAAAAAGGGAAAAAGTTGTGAGAAACAGATGCGTCTAGAAAGAATCCACATGCCGCAATAATTTGGAACACCAGTGAACCAGTCTGCAGAGAAATCTTAGGGTAACCGACAAAGTCACCACCATTGGGCATCTTTGACCCCCAACTCCACAGTGATCAACTCTACTGACCATGTCAGCCTCATCCCGGACGTGAGCAATAGTAATTGGTCTTTTTCTCTATCCCACACACAACTTGTCTTTTTGTGGTCCAACATACACTGGAATTGGACGGATCTTTTTTATTGATATTCTTTAGCCCTCCTTCCAATGAGGGCTGAAAGGTTTGAGGGTTCCTAGGCCCTGACCCCACACGAGTACAAAAGAAATGGTAAAGAGGATACAGAGAGGATGCCAAGCCCACAACACACCGAGGCTGGAGTGAAGTCTTCCAAGTTCAGTCTGTCCCCAGCACATTTCATGGCCCTGTGTTAAGAACAAATACATGGGGATCGGCCTGCGTGAGGTGCCATGAAGAATGGGGGCAGCAGGCACTGGTGGCTAGGCCGCAGCCAGTCCACAGGACCACGGCTGTGGGGACGGGGCTGAAGTCCCAGGGGAGCCACAAACCTCAAATGCACTCCCACCTTTCCCAAGCTGTCTTGTGGATAGGGTGTCAATGCCAATGCCCGAGGTACCAGAAGATGGTGAGAGCAGCCTCCCAGAGGTGTATTGCTAAGAGATGAGGCTGGTGCCAGAGGTCCCAGCTGGTACACAAAGTGGCAACAAAGGAGGACTAACTGGTCCACCAGCTCTTGGGACAGGAGCCACCTTGCTTAGTGATCGGGGTCTTGGTAAAGTCAGTCCGCAAGGGCTCAGGGACCTCCTTTGGCAAGTACCCAGGCACGCACTGGAAAAAGATTTTAGGAAACGCCTGCCGCCACGGCCTGAGATCTCACGTGGATAAAAGATGGGAAGGCAGCTAGAGCCAGATAGAACGGTGGAAGGTTCTGTGTGGACAGGCTCAGTTGCATACCCAGGGCAGAGACACTGCCCTTTCTAGGATGGATGTTGTCATATCGCTTCTGAAGCAGGGATTGTTTTTAAGAGCAGGAGTCAAGTCAGGATCAGAGTCAGGACAGGGCTACTTGCTTCTTTCTTCAACGTGTCCGGTGGGCTGTGTGGCAGGTGACAGTCACTGTGCTAGCACCTGGTGGTACAAACAGTGGCAGTTGGAACCTTATTAGGAATAACCACCGGTAACTGAAAGCACGCTGCCTCGATGTAAGAGTGTAAGTAGCTATGGTTGACGCTATGAGGAGACTTCCCAATAATGACCCATCTGAAGTACCGTATGTGCCTTAAATATATATAACACATGTATATGTGTGTGTGTTATGTAATACATCTATAACATATCACACACACGCACGTGTGTGTATATGAGGGTAGGCTCTTGCGCCACGGCATGTGTGCAGAGATCAGAGGACACTCTGTAGGAGTCAGGTCTTTACTTTGCACCACGTGGGTCCCAGAGGCGAAACTCGGGTAGTCAGGCGACACTCTGTAGGAGTCAGGTCTTTACTTTGCACCACGTGGGTCCCAGAGGCGAAACTCGGGTAGTCAGGCTTGGTGGCCATCGCCTTTACCGGCTGAGCCGTCTCTCCGGCTTCTCTGATCCTGCAACCATTGCTGCTGCTCCATTTACATACCTCACTCGCCTTTACGTGTCCTTACTAATCCTCACTGTCTTCATCTTCCATCTCAATTTTCTGGGGTGCTCCTGGGGTGGAATTATAACACGCTTGCATGTCTATAGCAACAACCGTCTCCATTTCTTTAGCGTACAGATGAGAAAAGTAACCTCGCAGTTCCTCGTTGGCAATCACCAGGCGGCAAGGTGTGAACTTCAGCCAACGTACCATTTTAGACTTTTAACTCTCAAACAATGTATTCCCCCCACCCCCAAGGCTGGAGGTGGAATCCAGGGCCCTCCACGTGCTAGGCAAGTGCTCTATCCCTAGCTCATCCTTCTAGTTGCAATAAAACCACATCTGCGAACTTGTCTTCAGCTGTTTCCTTTCCATGTGGGTGCTGGGAGTTGAACCTGGGTCCTCTGGAAGAGCACTCAGTGCTCTTAACCACTGAGCCGTCTCTCCAGCCCCTTGCTGTTTCCTTTCCAAGGCCTGTTTCCCCCAGTCCCTCGATCCGAAAAGGCGGGGGCTACACCACAACGGTCAGTCTGTAGTGTCAGGGACACCGGCTGCCTTCTCAGTCTCTCTTGACCCCAACGCAAGACTTGAAACGTTCACATTTCAGGGCTAACCGCCCCGCCCGCCTCACGGGCCTTTCTCGCCGGGTCCCGCACTCTGCCACACCTTACCCCAGTCCCTGCCCCTGCTCCCCACCTGATCTCTTTGGCTGCGAACAGACGTTCGGTTGCTGACAATAGACATTCTTCTGCTGCTTCTTGGTAACTTCCTCGGGGGGTGGACTGAGTGCTCCGCAGCAAAAGCAGCAGCAGCAGCAGCAGCAGCAACAAGTCAGAAGGCAGCAGAGGATGACGAGTGTCTGCAAGGCAGGAGAGAGGCCATGGTCTCCCTGTTCCTTTTGTCGTTCCGTGCAGGTCCCCCTCCATCCTCACACCCAGAAAGTGACAACAGAAGCATGTGTCTTGAGAAGAAGGCAGCCCTTCCTTCCTTCCTGTATTGACACAGACAGGATCTTACTGTGTAGCCCAGGCTACCCAGTGCCTCCCAAGGGCTGGGCTCGGAGGTGTGTGCTACCACAGCTGGCTTGTTCTTATTTTATGTGTGGGTGTTTTGTCTTTGTGTATGTCTGTGCACCGTGTGCATGCCTGGTGCCCGCAGAAGCCAGACAATGGCTCTGGATCCTCTGGGACAGGAGTTATGGAATGTGAGCTACTACATGAATGCTAAGAATCAAACCCAGGTCCTCTAAAAGAGCATAAAATGCTTCCCACTGTGTTGTGGAATATTATTTTAAGGTGTGCTACATTTGTTTATGGTGTGGAACATTCGTTTAGTGATGCAAAGATGTGTTGCCTTCTTTTATGTTGCATTTGTTTAACTCTGTGAAGCTGTGTTACTTTGCCTGTCTAAAACACCTGATTGGTCTAATAAAGAGCTGAATGGCCAATAGCAAAGCAGGAGAAAGGATAGGCGGGGCTGACAGGCAGAGAGAATAAAGAGGAGGGAAATCTGGAAGAAGGGATCAAGGAACAAGAGAAGAGAAGGACATCAGGGTCTAGCCACCCAGCCACCCAGCTACAGCCAGCAACAGAATAAGAAAGTAAGATATACAGAAATAGAAAAAGGTAAAAGCCAGAGACAAAAGATAGATGGGATCATTTAAGAAAAGCTGGCAAGAAACAAGCCAAGCTAAGGCCGGGCATCTATAAGAAAGAATAAGCCTCAGTGTATTTATTTTGAGAGCTGGGTGACGGGCCTCCCAAAAGAGTAAAGAGTGAAAACAACCAAAACACAACTGTGAGCCCTCTCTCTAGCCCCCTCCAACTCCTTCCTTCCTTTTTGAGGGAATAGGAAGAATGGTGTACCTTGAACCAACAACTGTTTGCTATAAAATAGTATCTGACGCCTTCTTCACCAAAATGATCAAGCAGGTATATTCCTAGTGAGCCGTGTTGGTCGTAGATTTTCTTCTTGGTAGGGTCACTGAGTACAGCATGGGCTGTGTTGATCTCTTTGAAGAATTCTCCTGCTTGAGTGTCCCCTGGATTCTTGTCTGGATGATATTTCAAGGCCAGTTTCCTATCCAGGCAATACCCAAAGGACAGTGGGGAGGGCAGGAGGTGACTGGGGTAAGAGGATTCGGATGGACGGCAGAGCTAGGTCTTTAGATGATGCAAGGGCTACAGGAGATGAGGTACAAAGGATGGAGGCAAGGTCTACATGTCTTCCAGTGTCAGTGAAGAAGGGGTGGCCTTCTTTGGCCAAAGAAAAGCTTCTTAGGATTTAAAAAAAAAAAAAAAAGAGGGTCCAATAATGGTCAAGGGACTGGGGGGAAATACCAGGGTTGAATAAAGGTGAGAGTCTGAACCTGTAGGCTCTTTTGATCTCTTCAGGCTGGGCGCCTTTCTTTAGTTCTAGCACTGCATAGAGGCTGGTTCCAGTCTGGGATAGCCGCCGGGCCGTGTCATCTGCGTGAGGCATGCTCTGGGCCAAGAGGACAAAATTACAAAGTCAGTGGCTCCTGTGACTTAAATCGGAAGAACGCAGAGGAACGCAAACGTGAAGGATACACCTTCCCCTCACATTTCCCGGTGTCCTCCATGGACCTCACAGTCTAGAGAGGTAGGTCTAAGATAACAAAAAGGCTGATTTTGTCCAAATCAGCTCCTTTACCTGAAGTAAACAGCCCTGACACCTGGCCAAGCTTGGTGCCTGGGTTTGAAAGACCAGGGTAACCCAGCCATTCCAAAGGGGGGGGGGAGGGATGGATCAGAAATCGAGAAAAGTCACAGCATCCGGGGAGGGGGCAGAAGAACCAGCCAGACCAAAGCCCACCTGTGGGGGTGAGGTGGGTGGGGGTGGGAGAGTGGTCGGGTTCAGGTTCAGGACCCGAGCAGGGCCCGAGGCCAAAGACTTGCTTTCCCCTCAGCCTCCAACCACCTCACACCTCTACCCCTCAGAGCCCACACTGGTGAGGACAGGAGGACTCCCTGGACAGAGGGAAGCCTACAGGAGCTGCTGCAGGGGATACACTCTGAGTGATCAGGTCCCAAAGGAGTGGGGCTGAGGCCTGGGGGGCCCGGGGGGCCCCAGGAGGAACCAGGGCAACCACATGTGTTGAGACAGCCTAGCCTTGTGTCGACTCCCCCACCTGGCTCTTTACCTCAGAATTGGCCTATTAAGCCAGGTAGACCTCACACACGTTTCCTTCGTCCTGGGGGGTGCGAAGCTCCATTTTGCGGCTGGTTCCGTGGCCCAACTGCGCGTGCGCGCTCTGTAGGGGCAGGGAGTCGTTTTTTGGCACCGCCCAGCAGAACCCGCGGGGGAGAGCTGGGTACCGGACCTGGGACTTATTTGGCACCAGAAGCCTGACCCTCGGGCCCCGGGCTGGGCAGTTACTTCCAGCCCCCAGGGCAGAGGCACAGCCCTTCCACATCACCCCTTTTCTCCAGGGAGAGCCCATGATCATCCCGATCACCGTCATGGCTCTTCAAAAAACGGTGGGCCTGGTGACCCGGCGGATGAGAGGTACGGGCCAGGGATCGTCCTCAAGAGCCGTCACTCGGTCCGTTTTTATCTTCCCCCTTACCTCTCGGAGCTTGTCTACAAACGTTGAGACTCACCTCAGATGTCAGATGTTCGGGGAAAATCAGCCCTCCGCCCCTCGGGAGGGTCTCATCGAGGCACTTACCCCGGCCAACTCTAAGAGTTCGTTGGCACCCTCCCTTCAAAATGACGTTTTTTGGGTCCTTTCCGAAAGCGCCTTCGCTACCGTGCCTCCGTAATAAGGAGATAACCGCAATGTAATGATATAATCTAGATTGTGTATGGAGTTGTTCCTTGATAGAATATTAACCCTTTTTCAGGAAAATGCTCACAGACGGCCTGGAACAGATTTCTGATTTTTTTTTTTTTTTTTTTTTTTGTCTAAGGATGGAGTAGTGGAAATGGAGCTATCGAGTCAAACGGAAAGGAAAAAATTTAAACGTTTATGTGGTGTGTGTGTGTGTGTGTGAGAGAGAGACAGAGACAGAGAGAGACAGAGAGACAGAGAGACACAGAGAGAGAGACAGAGAGAGAGAAACAGAGAGAGAGAGAGACAGAGAGAGAGACACAGAGAGAGAGACAGAGAAACAGAGAGACACAGAGAGAGAGAGAGACAGAGAGAGAAACAGAGAGGAGAGGGAGAGAGAGAGAGAGAGAGAGAGAGAGAGAGAGAGAGAGACAGAGAGAAACAGAGACACAGAGAGAGAAACAGAGAGAGAGAAACAGAGAGAGACACAGAGAGAGATACACAGAGAGAGACACACAGAGAGAGACAGAGAAACAGAGAGAGACACACAGAGAGAGACAGAGAAACAGAGAGAGAGAGACACACACAGAGAGAGTCAGAGAGAGAAACAGAGAGAGAGAGAGAGAGAAACACAGAGAGAGAGACACAGAGAGAGACAGAGAGAGACACACAGAGAGAGACAGAGAAACAGAGAGAGAGAGACACACACACACACACAGAGAGAGGGAGGGAGAGAGAGAGAGAGAGAGAGGGAGGCTTGTGGAGGTCAGAGGACAACTGGAGAGTCAGTTCCCTCCTTCTGTTAGGCAGGTCCCAGGGATTGAACTCAGGTGACCATGCTTGGTGACAGGCACCTTCACCCAGTGAACCATCTAACTGACCCTGAATATACATAGTTTTCCAACTCCGCTTTTTAAAAAAAAAAAAAAAAGATTGATTTCTTTTGTGTGTATGGGTGCTTTGCCTGCACGTATGTCTGTGTACATTTACGTAGGTTCCAGGATTAAACTCAGCTCATCGGGCTCTTTTTGTAGTAAGTGTTTTGTTTTGTTTTTTAGGTTTTTTTTTTTTTTTGTTTTTTTTTTGAGACATGGAACTCGCTCTGTAGACCAGGCTGGCCTCGAATCCACAGAGATCCACCTACTTCCGCTTGGATTAAAGGTGTGTGTAACCGCTGCCTGGCTGTGGCAAGTGTTCGATCCACTGTGTTATCTTGCTGGCCCCAAACTGACTATTTTTTAGAAGCTCTTAGTCCATACCATTTTACACCCCCACCTGCAGACATGGGAAGGGACGCTTGTGTCTACCTGACGGGACTTCTTGTCATCCCTCACAGGAGGCAGTATTTGTGGTGTTGGCTTCCTTTGCTGAGGAGAGCTCTCAGTGCCTCCAGGAACATGTCATTGGATGAGCTTTCTTCAATAATCCCTGCCCATCACTCCTTCTACAGCTTTTAGTCTTTGGTATAGCGGTTGCTGCAGTTCACTGTCTCTCCTAGGGTCTCAGCCCTAAGCCAATACTCACCCCTGAAATGCCAGTCACCTAGGCAAACTGAGTCTATATGTAAAAAACATACTCACCAAGCCCGTGGGATTGGGCCAGAGGAGTTTTGAGGTTACCCAACTCAACGGGAAAGGCTGAAGCTGACCACGTTAGTGTGTGGGGTGTGTGTGTGTGTGGCGGGGGAGGGGAAGGGGGGGAAGACCGGGCACTAGAAGCAGAGTGAACTTACAATGGATTTCTTACCTCAGTTTCCCAGGCCAGTCTGGCTCTACCCCTGCCTCTTCCTCCGGTCTCATTGGGAACCATGGTCCTGCTTGCTCTGGGATTTCTTCCCCTTCTTTTCTGTCTCTTCTTTGTGAAGACGCTGTGTTTCCTCTGTCTGGAAGAGTTCCCATGCCTGACATCTCATCCTCCAAAGGTCTCAGGTGCATGCTTCCTCAGACAGGCTGTTAAACTGGGTTCTCCTTCTCCCTCCTTACGTCATAACCTTCACCGTAATCAGTGTATTGTCTTAGGGTTTCTATCGCTGCAACAAAACACCGTGACCAAAAGGCAAGTTGAGGAGGAAAGGCTTTATTAAGGCTTACATGTCAGCATTGCTGTTCATCACTGAAGGAAGGCAGGACAGGAGCTCAAACAGGGCGGGATCCCAGAGGCAGGAGCTGATGCAGAGGCCATGGAGGGTGCTGCTTACTGGCTTGCTCAGCCAGCTTTCTTAAAGAACCCAGGACCAGCAGCCCAGTGATGGCACCACCCACCATGGGCTGGACCCTCCCCCATGGATCACTAATTGAGAGAATGCCTTACAGCTGGATCTCAAGGAGGCATCTCCTCAGCTTGAGGCTCCTTCCTCCGATGACTCTAGCTTGTGTCAAGCTGACACACAAAACCAGCCAGGTCATGTATATGTATCATTATTTTCATATTCATTTCCTTAATGTCTGACTTTCTCGGGTGACAGTGCCCACAGGGCAGGAACCTTGTTGGTTTGTATCGCCAGTACCTACAGCTACGCCTGGCTCATAGCTCATAGAGATCCGCCTGGCTCTGCCTCCTGAGTGCTGGGATTAAAGGCGTGCGCCACCACCGCCAGGCTCATTACTTCTTTGTCTTAGTATTCCTCAGCTCTTAATACAGTTCCTGGGATACTGGACGTGTTCAATGAGTGCCGGCTGGTTGAATGAAAGAGCACTCTGACCTTGGCCATGCCCCTTAGAGATGGCATGATTACATCCCTGCTTTACAGAGGTGAGCCCTGGGAAGGACATCTTGCCAGAGGATCCAGAATGTTACTTTTGTTTGTTTGTTTGTTTGTTTGTTTTGTTTTTTTTGAGACAGGGTTTCTCTGTGTTGTTTTGGTGCCTGTGCTGGATCTCGATCTGTAGACCAGGCTGACCTCAAACTCACAGAGATCTGCCTGACTCTGCCTCCCGAGTGCTGGGATTAAAGGCGTGTGCCACCACCGCCTGGCATAGAATGCTACTTCTTATCCATCATGCCCTCTGACATTTGAGTTCATCTCCGTTGCCCTTGAAAGAGCCTTTCATTCCTGTGAAGCCCTGCTCTGAATGAGAAGATGCTGCAGATAGGCAGCTGCAGAGCGTTGGGATAGAGCAGGCCAGAGGGCCTGGCATGCTGTGACCTGAGGCTTCTAGGCTCTGCTTTCCAGAAAACACAGCTCTTTTGATGGTTTCTCACAAGCAGGTTTTTTTTTCTCACCCATCACTGTAGTAGGCTGAGCATGCAAGTCAAGCTGTGTGAACAGATCCCTTTGCCTCTAAATTTCTTTTTCTTTTTTTTTTTTTTTTTTTTTTTTTGGTTTTTCGAGACAGGGTTTCTCTGTGTAGCTTTGTGCCTTTCCTGGAACTCACTTGGTAGCCCAGGCTGGCCTCGAACTCACAGAGATCCGCCGGCCTCTGCCTCCCGAGTGCTGGGATTAAAGGCGTGCGCCACCACCGCCCGGCTCTAAATTTCTTTTTCTTCTGCTGTAAAAACCTGAGCTACCCCACAGGACTGATTCCAAAACTTTAATTAAATCTAGTTGCAAAAAAAAAAAAAGAATTATTTTTTTAGAAGTCAAGCATGGTGATGCACGCCTTTAATCCCAGCACCTCGGAGGCAGAGGCAGGCAGATCTCTGAGGCCAGCCTAGTCTACAGAGCAATTTCCAGAACAGCTAGGGCTACACAGAGAAACTCTGTCTTGAAAAACCTAAATATTAATGATAATAATAATAATAATAATAGGAAAAGAAACAACAAAATAACCTTGTCAATGAATGATTACAGGTTAAAATTTCTTGAGCTCTTTGTCTTCCCATAATGCCTTGAGTCAGTGAGCTTACTGTATCCCCACGGCCATTTGGTCCTTTCTGAAGAAATCGTGAAGCATCCCTTGTTTATCCACAAACAAAAAAACACTAGTCATAGAGCTGGAATACACACATACACAAGACAGCAAACACTGACATATTTATACCTAAAATACCATGCTCTGGAACATATGTAATTGCAGAGAGAGAGAGATCATAATTTGTCACATCTAACAAGCAGGTTCTAGAATTACAGTTTTAGAGCTGGAAAGGACTATGGAGATTTAACCCCAACCTGTTCATCTCATTTCCTAACTGAAGCAGTTATTTCTGGAAGAGAAGGACTGAGCTGCTGAAGGTCACCCAGTGGTATCCAAACTCAGTCTCCTGACCCCAAGTTAGGGTCTATGCAATGGCTGCCCATTATGGTTTCTGCCCTGTGTTAGTCAGGATGCTTTCTCTAAAGGAGTGGTTCTCAACCTGTGGGTCATAACCCCTTTGGGGATGGGGGATGACTGACCCTTTCACAGCTAAATCCATTGGAAATATCAGATATTTACATTGTTATTCATAACAGTAGCAACATTACAGTCATGAAGTAGCAATGAAAATAATTTCATGGTTGGGGTCACCACAGCATGAGAAACTGTTTATGGGTTGCAGCATTAGGAAGGTTGTGGACCACTACTCTAGAGAGCCAGAACTGATATATAAGAAATCTTAGAGTGGCTTACAGGTTTGGGTCCAACTGTTTCTGTAATAAGCACTTGGACACCGATGAGAGTGGAAGAAAAAGATGTCGGCCGGGCGGTGGTGGCGCACACCTTTAACCCCAGCACTCAAGAGACAGAGGCAGGCAGATCTCTGAGTTCGAGGCCAGCCTGGTCTACAGAGTGAGATCCAGGACAGGCACTAAAACTACACAGAGAAACCCTGTCTTGAAGAAAACAACAACAACAAAAAAGAAAAGAAAGATGGAAAGGAAGACAGAAAAAAGATGCCATGGGTAGACTTAACCACACAAAAACTCTGTCTTGAAAAACAAACAAACAAACAAAGGTACTGAAATCTTTGATACCCAGTGAAGTTTGTACTCTCATTTTATACTCCAAAACCACAGGTGGGGTGGCCAAGCAAGCAGGATTTTACAGAGTGGCAGTGATTGGGTTACTAAGGGCAACGACCCATTGTTTCAGCTGTTCCTCCAG